AAGTGAATATCTGGGGTGCAAGTTGGAAAGTATACTGCTAATTTTGATAACAAGCTTTGTAGAATTGATATTATACATAGGTACAACTTTGATAAAATTATCAAATTAAGAATGTAAAATAGGGGAGATTAAAAATGGTGGCTTGCTCCCAGGACCAAACTGGAATTACAACTAAAATACAGAAAAAGTTCCTCAATAATCAATGGAAGACTCACTGGAGAAAACCCTGATAACCAAAGATTGAAAGTGGAGACTGCATAGGGGCGGAAGCACGAAAAGTCTGGCCTGGCTCTCACAGACAGTTCTGGAGAGATATCTCAGCTGTGTGTTGGGGGTGGAGGGGGTTGCCACTGAGAACTCTGGGGTATAATCCTCAAGCTAGACCCCAGCAGAGAGCACCAGAACTGAGAAGGGTACTCACACAACATCTGACTGTGAAAAGCAGCAGGTTTGCTGCCTACCAGTGAGAGAAGGCTGGAAATAAAGACACCCTCTTAAAAGGCCCACACACAAAATTCCCTGGCAGAGGGAGGGCAGAGTGGACTGGAGCTGTGTGAGCAGAAGCCAAGATCTGAGACTCTGGGGTTAGAACTTAGAAGGAAGACACCCTGGTTTCCTGTGGTGAGTCATTCCCTCACAATGCAGAGGTTATCTCACACAGGCAATTGCTATCTAGGCCAGTGGTTTGAGAACCTGTGGGTCTCGACCCCTTTGGCAGTAGAACAACCCTTTCACAGGGGTCGCCCAAGACCATCCTGCATATCAGATATTTACATTACAATTCATAACAGTAGCAACACTACAGTTATGAAGTAGCAACGAAAATAATTTTATGGTTGGGTCACAACATGAAGAACTGTATTTAAAGGGCAAGAAGGTTGAGAACCACTGATCTAGGCAGTTTTGTCTGGGAGAAGACAGTTGACCCACCCTATTGGAAAAAAACCTTGCCTCATGGTCTGGAGTTTCTGAAGCCCATTAAAAGACTGAGAATAACAATTAGCCTCCCGGCAGAAGCAATTGCCCCACCCTATTGAAAAAAACTCTCACCATACCTGTGGATGATTGCCTGATGGCAATTCAAGATAGAATCCTATCAGTCTGTAGGCAGAGTTGGTCTTTGGAGGCTTTATGTCTTTGCCTGATCTAATTAGTCAGAAACAGCATGTGACACTGTCCTGCCCTAAAGATTGAGAGGCATAGCAGATCTACCTAATACACAGTCACAAACCTAAAGAGGCAGCCAAAATGAGGAGGAAAAAAATGCCAAATGAAAGAACAAAAGAATTCTCCAGAAAAAGAGATAAATGAAATGGAGATAAGAAACTTATCTGATATAAAGTTCAGAATAATGATGGTAAAAACAATCAACAGCCTCAGAAAAGATATAGTAACTGTGAAAACAGAAATAAAGAATAACATAGCACAAATAAAGAACAGCACATTAGGGGAAGCTGAGGACCGAATCAGTCAATTAAAAGACAGGGTTGGAAAAAAAATCACTCAATCAGAGAACCAAAAAGAAAAAACAATTTAAAAACAGGAGAACAGCTTAAGGGAGCTGTGGGAAAACATGAAAGGTAACAATATTCGAATAGCAGGTGTGCCAGAAAAGGCAGAAAGGGGGAAAGGGATAGAGAACATGTTTGAAGAAATAATGACAGAAAACTTCCCTAACCTGGTAAAGGGAAAAGCCACACAAGTTCAGGAGGCACAGAGAACCCACAAGCAAGAAGAACCCAAACCAGCCCATGCCCAGACATAATAATTAAAATGCCAAAAATTAAATACAAAGAGAGAGCTTAAAGGCAGCAAGAGAAAAGCAAACTGTTACCTACAAAGTAGCTCCCATAAGGCTGACACCTGGTTTCTCATCATAAATTCTACAGGCCAGAAGGGAATGGCATTAAGTGCTCAAGGTAATGGAAAGCAAGGATCTGAAACCAAGGTTACTATATCCATAAAGGCTATCATTCAAAATAGATGGTCAAACTAAGAGCTTCTCAGATAAAAAAAAAAGGCTAAAGGAGTACATCACCACCAATCCAGCATTACAAGAAATACTAAAGGGATTGCTGTAATGAGAAGAAGAAACAGAGAGAGAAACCTAAACATACATAATTAAAATGGCAATAAATAAGTACCTCTCAATAATAACCTTGAATGTAAATGGATTAAATGCTTCAAACAAAAGACACAGGGTAGCTGAATTGATACAAAAACATGACCCAACTATATGTTGCCTACAAGAGACCCATCTCAAACCAAAAGCCTCACTAAGGATGAGTGTGAAGGGATGGAAAAAATTTTTCTATGCCAATGGAAAAGAAAAAGAAGATAGAGTAGCAATACTTATATGTGACAAAATAGACTTTAAAATGAAGGCCATCACAAGAGACAACAAAGGTCACTACATAATACTAAATGGATCAATCCAACAAAAGGATATAACCCTGGTAAACATATATGCACCCAATATAGGAGCAACTAAATAGATATTTTGAAAAACCTTCTGGAGGACTTTAAGGAAGAGATTGACAGTAATACAGTCACAGTAAGGACTTTAACACCCTGCTGACTTCACTGGATAGGTCTT